TATTATTGCGAGAGCCTTGTATTTGGATCTTTTAATTTCTATTATTCATGCATTTTTAAATCTTCTGCATATGTATTTGAGCTCCTTTTTATTTATATCTGCTGACAGGTCTCAGATTGTTATGTGTTTTGTATTCTTTACTTCTTCTTTCTTAGTAACTGTATGTTCTTCTTTTTCTCGAATTTTTTCTTCTTTATGACTCTTTTCTTTATATTCTATTATGCTATATTTTCTATTTTGGTATTCATTGCTATATCTCTTTTGTTCTGTTCTTCTTTTTTCTTTGTCCTCTTCTGGTATCATTTTGTACTAATCACTTTCTTTTTTACTTATCCTTTGTATTGCCTCATTTCTACTATACTCGCAGTCGAAGTTTACCTCAATCCACAAATTTCCTCATTTAAAGATTTCTTTAATGTTTTTAATATGTTCATTGTCTTTTAATGACCACTTGATAAACTTTACATGTTCTTCTTCTGTTTCTCCAGACACATTGTATGCTGATATATTAGTGAGTAGACTGTTATCTTTGTTACAACTTCTTCTACTTGTGCCTATATGCTTTCTTCTAATAGAGTTTCTGCTATATCTATTTCTCTTTCTACTATCTGCTTTCTTCTTTTTTGTCTTTCTTTCTTCTTTGTTGTTGAACCTTGTCTTGATTCTTTACCATCTATTTCTATATCCTCTTGTTCTGCTTCTTGCATCAGTGGTTCTTCTTTTAATCAGTCTATATTTTCATTACTTACCTCTACTTTTTTTTTTCCTCTTGTGATAGAATCTTCTTTCTATAATCTTCTTTTGCTTGTATTGTTTTCTTCTATTATTTTCTCAGTTCTTCTTTCTGTCTCTTGTTTGTCTTCTTGCTTTATTTCTTTTATAGCTATTTCTTGTTGCACTATTTCTTTATTTTCTTGGTCTTAAATTCTTTCACATTCAATTAGCATTATATTCTTGTCTGCTTCTGTAAAATTAAGTTTCTTTTCTGGTTGTTCTCTTTCTGCTCTTTCAATTAATTTTCTAGTTTTCCTTAGTAGTGCAACTTCTGCTAGGCTTTGCTCTATAAGCATGGCTACAATTTTATCTTCTCTGTCTAGTATTACATATGTGCTGCTTGACTGATTAAAGAATATTTTGTTATATATTCTATTCATTGCCCAGTACGCTCTTTTCGTGAATATTGTTGATAGACTTTCTCTACACTCTATTAATTCTATGTTCTATTTATATCTACTACCTTCTGATTGGTTGTTCAGTTTCCTTTGTTTGTTTGCTTATCTATATACCAGATTTCACGTGTATCTATATATGTTTTGCGATATCTATTCTACTTTGGTAACCTGCACGTGTCTGTTGTTGTTTTGCTATTATGTGTCTTTTGTGTAATGTAAACAGATCTACATTACAGGGTCTAATGGCAATTCCCTACTACTGTTGTTTTTCGATGAGTTTTTTGCAGTTTCTTTAATAACTCTGCTATTATTTTGCAAATAAACTTTTCTTTTGCTAGTCTAATGCTTTCCTTGTTGCTGCTTCTTTTTGTTTAGAGCTATTTGAGGTATTTTTTATTAATAATTTTGCTAAAATCTTCTTTTTTTTTTAGCTATTTTTTGTGTTCAAATGATCGACAAGAAGAGTTGTTGATTGTAAACTTTTTTATTATTGTTAAAAAATATTATATAATAGTTATATTTGTTAATTAAATCAATTAATAATATAAAAAAAAACTCTTTTCTGTTTATTACTAATTGAAAAAAGCAAATAGAATATTATAATTATAAAATCATCAAACAGAAATCTAAACTCTAAAAATAAGATACTTTCAAGAGCTAAAGCCCTTGTTCCAAGAAAAAAAAAGATTTCTTAACTAGTAAAACCTTTAGTGACTGAAAATCTTTAAAATAAGAAAACTTGACAAAGAAAAAAAAATGAAGCAAAACTTGATAATATAACTATAGCTTAAGAAATAATATAGCAATAAAAAAAGATTTAGTTTTAGTAATAGTGATCCAAAACAAAGAAGACTGGCTAAAAAATATAACCAAAATAAAAACAACTTTTAGGCTTTAAAAAACATATACAATACTATAAAAGAAATAAACAACAAAAAAGAAAACAATAACAGGAACAGTTATATGTTAAATAAAAAACATAACAACAACAACATCTTAGATAATCAACTAGCATGCAAGCCTACACAAAGTTTTGCATTAATTACTAAACAAGGCATAAGCTTTTCTGCTAAATTGAAATAAGGAAAATCAACTTTTGTTGCATTTTCTTCTAGAAATCAAATTAGATTCAAAAACAACAATGCATTGATTGTTGAAATTGCAGAGCTTTACAACTCTCTTAATGAAATTATAGTTTCTTTATATGAAAACATAAAAGAAGATATAGTTGCAGCCAAGCAATACTTTAAAAAAGGCTTAAGAACCCATCTAGAAATTATATTTCCAAACCAGAATTGTTTAATACATTATGCAATTAATGAAGTCAAAATCTTTAGAGAAACATACTACAGATATATTCCTATAAATGCATGCAAATTCTTTTTGCTAGCCAAAGTTAGAAATATACCTTTAAGTATAAAAAAACATATTTATAACTAGATCAAAAAGGCCTTTCAAGGCTTTGAAAGATTGCATCTATTAAACTATTGCTTATTGAAAGTATATCATATCTAACAGAGCAATGTATAGTTATCTTTAATAACACAGATAACCTAGAACTTAAAAAAAAATTTCTTATTTAACCTATATGGAGAACAACAAAGTAACTACAAAATGAAAAGAAGCTCCTAAAGTATATTACTTCTGTAATCAAACTGGCCATATTAAGAAAAACTGTATACCATTTCAAGAAGCAAGAGATCTAAGAAAACATTATCAAGAATATAAAAACAAAAAGACTTAAATGGAAATTTCTAGTGAAAACTTATCTAAACATACTATGAACTTCAATAAAGAAACTTCTATAGTACAAGAAACAGTACAAAACACTGACATAGAACCAGAATCTTCTCAAAAACAAACAACTTCCTTGAAGAAGAAAATGCAAAAAAACAACATAGTTATTAATATAGAAACTCTCTCTTCGAATGAAGAAAATATAGATAACTTTACAGAAAATATGATTTTAGAAGAAACAATTGCAGACCTTCATAGTCTTCAAACTAAATATCAAAAAAATACAGAAAACATATTCTTTATCTTAGTCATATATAAAAAAAAAAAACACAAAGAATCAAAGTTCTATAAGACTTCTAACAAAGAAAACTAACAAGAGAAACTAATACAAAGAGTATAAAATAGCTTCAAAACTTACTAGTTTTATTATAAACAATACATTAATTAAGATAGCTATACTAAATATTAAAAGATTAAATAATGTAGACAAACAACTTAGAACTTTGACACTTTTAAAATCTTATAAACTAGATATTATTCTTTTACAAGAAATAAATATATTCAACAACACAACTTGACAATTCTTAAAAAATCAATGGTCTTTTAATTTAGTTTAGACAGACAGAACAGCAATTTTAGCAAGAAACAAATAAATAAAATTTAAAGACATCAAGATATCACAAAAAAACAGAATAATCTCTATTTGTTTTACTTTAAAAAAGTTTTTTTTCTATATAATTAATGTTTATGCTTTACAAAACATCTTGAATAAAACCTTATTTTTTAACAACTAGGTAATCAAAAAAAAAATAACATAATTAATATTTTGATAGAGACACAAATTGCCAACTCTTTTTGATGATTACTTGTACCAAAATTCTGCTAAAAAAAATTTAATTTTCTTTAACAATTTATAATTAAATATATCTTTAAATAAAATAAATATGTTCTTTATTCTATTTTATACTGTATATATATACAAAATTTTACATCACTAGCTTAAATATTAAATAAATTAAATAACTATTTGTTAAAACACTTTAAAATTACCTATACTCAAATACAGCCTAGAAAACTTATCTTGTACTCTAAGACAGAATTGTTCAGCTTATCTCTGGCTTTATTTTGATATAAGTTTTATCAAAAATGGCCAAAAATTAGTTATTTTATAAGCAAAAAACTCCAAACAGTTAATTTTCTTAAAATTTTTTAAAAATTTGATCTTTTCTCTTTACTTCTTTCAAATCCAGACCTCAACCACGTTTTTAAACACCATTTTCTAGTGGTTCACTCAACTATTATTTTATAACTATTTTCTTTTTAGTCCTTAATTAATTAACACAAAAACAAATAATTACAAATTTGTACTTATTCTAAAATTACATAATCTTGTATATACTTTATTCTATTTTTAGCAGGAGTTACACAAGCCTTATATTGTATTACAAACCACAGCAACCACAGCCATACTAGATATAGCCATATTAGTCACAAAAGGTAATGCAATGAGTATAACATTACACAAACTAAAAATTACTTTTCTTCAAAGCTGTTATCATTCTCTTTAATATTATTATAATAATATCAAGCCAAAATATCTACTTTAATCACTGAGGAACCTGATTCTCATGATTTAGACTACTATTATAATAAATATCCTGATTGCTTTGGCATTGAAACTAAAGAAACTGATCTATTTACTTTACATATCTTATCTAAAGATATTAATCCTACAAAATATGAATCCAATAAGCAACAACATTACTTAAAATGCCTATGTTGTTTACTTGTTTTTGTAACAAATATTATACTAACTTTACCTCCAAACATTATAAAATTACATATACTACATCTTCATATCAATCTTCTAGCTTAAGTATAATAGATATCTCTCCAACTACAGTAATTTCTAAAACTCACTTCAACAACATTGTCAATAAACTATCTAATTCATCTATTACTAAACAACAACAACAAAATCTTCTATTTATCTTTTAAATTCTATCATCTTTCTTCTATATAGACCTATCACCTGTGTCAATTATTCCATATTCTCAATATTATTATATGTACACTCTATGCAAAAAGAAAGATATTCTATATGTTCTTATTCAAGAAACATATTATACATCAAACTACTCTACAACTGTAATTTTCAAAGGCTTTTTATTTTACCAAGACTGTGTTTACAGCTTTCAATATACTAAACTCAAACTTCTTCTTCAAACTTAAGAACTTATTCAAGAACAACATTCTATTTTTTATCTTTTCTACTTTTATAAATTTACAAAAAAAGAAAAAATCAATTTCCTTCAAAAATTTGCTCTTAGAGAAAAAAAAAAGAAACAAAACTCTAAACAAACAAAACAAAACCAATAACAAAAAAACACAACCAACCAACTCAAAGATACTTCTAATGACCTAAACTGGTTTTTTAACTACCAAATCACTGAAAATATAGAACCAAATATAAAACTTAATACATCACTTGCTCAACAACTTTTTAACTTCTTAAAAATTCACCTTTGCAAATTTATTTCTGACCAACCAATTTCCTCTACTCCAAATAATACTCAACCAACTACAAACCAAAAACCTTCTCAAAAACAAAGCTTTAATTATCTACTTAAAACAATGACTATTAAAAAACTAAAATTTCTTACAAATTTTCTTCATTAATTTAACTTATTACTCTCATCTCAACTTAATATTTCACAATATGCTTATACCTTAACACTTAAAAATTTACTTACTAAATTTACTAAATTTCTTTTTACCAAACTTAACTACTTGTACATCTTTTATTTTTATTACTCAATTTTATCTTATTCAATCTCTGAACATTGTAAAGTAGCAATTAACTTTGCTCAACTATACTTATTTCTTTATAACAAATATCAAACAATTCATTATCAAAAATTCATTGAGAAACTAGAACTTTATTCTTTTAGATTATCAATGAAATACAATTTTGAATACAATGCTCCAAAACTCTTATTCAGTATCTATAACAACAATTGCTTTACTATTACTGTTACTCTTAATATTTTTAAAACCAAATTTACTAACACCTTTTGAATTTCATTACTTAAGCCTTATATTCAAAACTTTAATACATAGTATGCAGACTTCTTTAAAGCTTACCAAAAGCAGTTTACTGAAATTAATGAAGATAAAGTTAAAAATTATATTAAATACCAAATTGCAACTACACTTGCTAAGAAATATAAAAAACTTCTATTTTTAGACTTTCAAATTACAGAACTTATCTCTTTTCAAGAGTGTTCCTTTCTAATTACCAAAGCTGCACTCTTTCATGTTCATACATGCAAAGACAAAGACTGCAAACTTTTACCTAATAACACAGAACATATTTTCAAAAACATATCAACTCATTACTTTGACAAATTTTTTAAAACATTTTCAGCATCTCTAAAAGACAACACAACTCCTAAAACTATACGATTTACTCCAGATTACACAATCTTCTAACCAAACCAACAATATACAGCAATCTTCAAAAAGACTATACTACTCTATATACTTAATGAACTTGCAATTAAAGCAAACTAAAAGTTTGCTAAAATTAACAATTCAGAAACAAATCCTAAACAAACTGCTTTTTATTTCTATTTTTATCTTAAAGCTTATCTAAATACTGCAGCTAAAAATAACAGTATTTCAGAACTTAAACTAAACAAAGCTTTAGAAAAAATTATTATACCTATTATTAATCCATATATCCTAGCACATATAATTCTCTATTTTTATATTCAAAGTTAACCAAAATTCTCTATCTCTTAAATTCAACTCGACTATGATCTAAAGTATCTTCTAGAAGCAAAAAAATTTATCATTAAACATTATGATATAAAATCCCTTCAATATAGGATGATACTCTCTTTATGTCTTTAACTACTATCTATAGTTTACTTTTTCAATAAATCCTTCTATAGATAATATAAATACTGCTACTACTTCTAAAATAATAATGTTCTTCACTAAAAGTATGCCATTTTTAGAAGAGAATAATATAAATAGATAGGCAGAAAAGCCTATTTATGCAAAGAACCAGGCTAATAACAGTCAGATCTAATGTACAGAGCAGACTATAGTATCTTCTGCAACTATGAAAACTGAGTATATGGCAAGCATATCTATAGAAGAAAACTCAAACTTCTTAGATTACAATTTATTACATCCTTCTGAGAACCCTTTTACTAAAAATATATTTTTATTTATTTTCAAAAAATCTTATATAACTAACATTTTTATTAACACTCTAATAAATTCAAATACCACTAACAATGATCAAAACTTATTAACAGAAGATCTAAATGATACTATTGACTTACCAACAACAAATACTATTAAAGAAAAACCAATCCACAAATCTTTGACCTATCTAAAATATATAATTTTTCAATATGTTTCAACAAATTTTTCTTATTCTACAACTTACAACTCTTACCAACACTACAATCAATAGGCTCTTTGTTAAAATTTATCCAAACTAACTACTCAACATACTATTCTGAGCAATACATCAACATTTTTGTTAAAACATTTAATAATAATATTTACAAAAAAACCCATATCTACCTTTCACAAGAAACCAATTGTCCATCTAATTTTACTTATATTCCTTTTTAAAAACTTCTAGACTTTTAAAATGTTCTACTTAAAACAAACTGTTTTTCAACAAGATTCAAAATACCATCTCTTCTAAGTTGCCAAAAATCTTTCTTGCCAACTTTACCTTCTAACTTAGATCTACCTTTCAATACAACACATACTAATAACAATTTTTTATTACCAGAAAACCCAGATATCACAAAATCAATCAAAATATACTCTTTTAATATCAATAATCTTCTAGATAATCTCAAACAACTTAGCCTAATTGACTTCATTTTAGAAAATCAAATAGATATTTTTGAAATTTCAGAAACACATCTATCTACTAAGGAGGCAAAATTCTTAACCTTATTTTAAAAACTTACAAATTATAAATGCTTCTGGACATTTAGCAATGCTCACCAAAGTGGTATAGAAATATTAATTCACAATTCTCTTGCTAAGCATATTAGAAAAATTCAAATCTATAAGAACTTTATTTTAGAAATTGACCTATTTTTTAAAAACCTTTATATTAAACTTATTCAACTATATTTTTCAACTCAAAAGAAAAAACAGATCTGAAAAGATATTCTCTTATATCTTACACCTATCTTTAATTAAACCAACTACAAAATAGTTCTTATAGAAGATCTAAATAGAATTCTTAATTCTAAACTTAACAGACTACTACCAAAAAGCTCCAATACATCAGAATACTCTTTTCTAAAACTTTTTAAATCTCTTTAATTCTAT